TGGTAGAGATTAGGGTAGGGAGGGAAGATCAATGAAAGAAAAGATACCATCTGGCAAGTCTTTCATTCATTCTGGTCTTGTCAGGCCAGAGCTGGCTAATTCAGTCCATACGTTTTCCTGTGAAAATAATGGAAAAGCCCCTGTCCTGGGCCTTATGGGGGGTGCTAAGCTCCCACTACCCAGGAATTCATGGAGCCCAGTAACAATAAAACAGCAGAAAGTGCTAAGACTGAAAAACGAGTACAAACAATGAATGTTATTTCAGGAAAGAGACTGCACCTGTTGTGCTGAGATGACCAGAGAAGGCTTTAAGGAGACATGGTGATGGCTAGGCCTTTGAGAACCAGTGGCATTCTTGAAAGATAAAAATTGGGATAAGAGTAGTGGGAGTGAATAGACTACCAGTCTTATTAATTAAAAGCATGAGCTTCGGAGTCATACAAATCTGGGTTCAGGTCCCGGCGCAGCTACCTTCTAGCTGTGTGGGCTTGGGCAGTTATTTAACCTCTCTGGGATTCCATTTCTCATTCCTTAAATTGATATAAGTACAGACCCTATTTCACAGGTTGTTCCAAAGAGTAAAGGAGATAATGTACCTAGTATACAGTAAGCACACAATAAATGTTAGTTGTTCATATTGTTGTGATGGTGTTGTCTTATCCCCCTATGATTCACAGACACTGGAGCAATGGTGACCTTGGCTCTGACCTGTATGTACAACAAGATCCCTGTAGGATCAGAGGAAGGTTACAGAACCCTGTTTGGTCAGGTACTAGAGAATACTGTGGAGAATATCAGCAAAAGGATCAAAAACAATGGAATCATTGGGGACATCTATAGTACTGGCCTTGCAATGCAGGTAAACATATTAACGATGCTCTTCATTGGATCCATGCCAATAAGACTGGATTGTAGGATCAAGAGACCAGGCTTCTTCTAAAGTCTCCGGGAAAGACCAGCTAGTGTGACCTGAGGTAGATTCCTTGTGGTGCCTGTGCCTCAGTTTCTCTACTGGTAAAATGCTGGTGTTAATTCCTCCCTCACTTACCCTCTTCGAGAGTAAGTGTGAAAACAAATCTACATGAACTCTTTTCCCTTCCTTGGGAAAAAAAAAATCCAAGAAAATTATTATTAATAATGAACAGTTTGTCCATAATAATTATAGACTAAGGAAAATTTGATGTATAAAAATAAGGATATTAAAATAGGTTCTCAAAAAAATATTGAACTTTCTAATTCCACCTTGCCTATCAAGTATTCTTTTTTCAGCCCTTTATCTTGATCGGGGGAAAAAAGAAAAAAAAAAGGACGGGCTTGTATTCAAAATAATTAATTAAAATAATCTAATGAATATGCTAATGCTTTCAAGGCTCACATCAAATCTTTGTCAATCTCTATTTCAATCTTAATCTCATTTTCATTTCACAAAGAGCTCTAATAAATGGTGGAGCCATATGTGTCAGGAAACCAAGTCCATACTATACTTCCCTCATAGATTCCTGGATTTGGATTCTATCACATGCTGCTTGATTAGGGTTGATTAAGGCAGCATCCTCCCATGGAAAGCAATGATAATGGGGAGAGATAAGCAACTAGACTCAGAAACTAAAGGGTCATCTATGGCTAAGTCCTCTATTCCAAACTAAAAAGTTTGTGCTTCAAAGTCTCAAAATGTCCAGTCTCTATGTCATGTCACGGTCAATGGGATTTGCTGTGGAACAAAATGTTGTTTGTTACCATGGCTGAAATATATGAGACCAATCCCCGGGCTCAGGTCTAGAAGGCTTTGTGGAGGGACAAAGGCAGTATAAAAGGAATAGAAAATGGGTTTTAGTTGTGACTCACATAAAACAAACTTGCTTCACCAAACATAAGATAGAGAAGTGTTTGCTATGGCTAATTTGGTTTATGAATTCTGTTTGGGATTTTATCACCTTCAGGGTACAATCTGATAAGCTGTTCCTGAGACTTATTAAAGCTATTTCTATGAAAAGACAGGACTGCATCCATATGCAGATAACAGTTTATGTCAGTTCTTGTCAGTTAGGATAAAAAGCCTCCTCCTGCCTCACTTATGGCCCAATTTTGGAGTTGAATCAAAATATATAACCTTTTTCTAATCTAAAATGTTCTAGTATAGAAAACCAAAAGAAAGGCCTTGGGAACTTTAACAACTTGGGTTTAAATCCCAAATCTGCCTCCACTTTGGCAAATATAGAATTTATCTGAATTACATTTTTCCTCATAATAACGAGGTTGCAAAGGTATTAAAAAAAATCACAGGCACAATGTGGTGTGCAATGATTGTTGGTGGTTTCTCCCAGCAGAAGAGTGGTGACATTGAGCTTCTGGTGCAGCCCTCACTCACCCTCTTCCAGGGTACCAGTACCCTTCAATGGCCTGAGCCACCCACATTGCTTCCCGAAGGCACTCATGAGACATTTCCTCTGTTCCAGAATTTTCCTCTTTCTTCCATCAATATGCTTATGCTTTCAAGGCTCCTCTAATAGAAACTTAACTTGAAAAGGATCTGACCTTCCTCATGCAGAGTTATTGATGAATTCTCACAGTTTAATGTGTTACTCCTCTCTAGAGTGTTGGTAGTTTATCCCAAGGGGCTCCATCTCATTTAGTGAGATTTGGGAGTTGAATATGGAAAGTGAACAAGATAAGGTTGGTGAGGAGTACCCATGGGATGCCTAAACCAAACTTCCATATAAAGAGCCACAGTTCATGGTTGATGAGGATAGCAGTGATAGTTGTGCCTTTCCAAACTGTTTAGTTGCTCATACTAATGCCTCACAGAGCCATTTCTGACACCTCTCTCCCTTCTCCCATTTCCCATCTCAAGCTTCAGGTAAATTGATCATCAGCAATTTCAGCCCACTAACAGGCTCTGGTGGCCATGGCCAGCACAATCCTAAAGGGAGGGAAATGGTAACTTACTATTTCACATAAACCGGGATGTTCCAGGGATGGATTAGGTGATTTCAGAATTCATCAAAATAAAGGGCTCCAACCATGATATCAGGGACCACTCATGTATCAGCCCTGGTTTTTGTCTTTTGTCATTCTTTCCTGCTCCTTGGCTTCTTCCAAGGGGCCAAAGAAGATGGTAACTAACAACTCAATGCTTACTTAGATGGTACCAGCTAAATAACCCCAGTAAGGAGATAAAATGCTTCTCTCAATGTTTGTTAATAAGGAAGAACTTTGATTAGTGCATGTGTCCACCAATCACTGTCACCAAGAGGATGACATTCCATGATTATCCCAGCACAGTCCATGAGTCCACCACTGGCAAGGGTGATGGAGCCTCTGGGTGACAGTCCCAACATGATCAAAAGTGTGGGGATGTACACTAAAGGGTGTGCAGGACAACACAAATCAAAAGAGGTCTACTATGTTTGCATGGCACGTTGTCCAAGACTGAAGCTCCCCTAGAGCTTGCTTTGCCCAGCTCTCACCCTCATTCTCTCTCCAAGAACTGTTAGTAAATACAGCAGCCCTAATAGTGTTCCCCGAATCTAAGTATGTGGCTAGTATGTGACAGACACTGAGCTAAATGGTGAGGATGCAGCAGTGAACAAGACAGATGTTCCTATGCAGCTTCAGTTTGGACTCTGGGTGATCAAAGAGATTATCGATCAAGTGTATCCCTTATAAGACAAGCCTAATCTCTCTATCTCTCTATCTCTATCTCTGTCTCTATCTCTATCTGTCTCTCTATGTGTGTTCCAGGCTCTCTCCGTGACACCTAAGCAACCTAACAAGGAATGGAACTGCAAGGAGACTATGGATGTAGTGCTTAATGAGATTAAGCTGGGAAAATTTCACAACTCCATGTCCATTGCCCAAATCCTCCCTTCCCTGAAAGGGAAGACATACCTAGATGTGCCCTACACGTCTTGTAGCCCTGGTAAGAACTCTTAACATCTGTCTTTCCTCATATCATAAACTGGCAACTTATATTAGCAATGTTATGTGGTTTCAATTTTAAGTGGCATATAGGCTTTTTTATGTCCATTACTTTCATGTAGGCAGAATCACATCTGGCTTCCAATCCTCAAGAACTGTGTGATAACACAGCCATATACCATCTTGCACTCAGAATTCAGCCCTCATGTCCACTTCATTCAACATTTAGTGATAGCCTACTGTGAGCAAAACATTTTGTGAAATAGAGATGGAAGATCCATAGTCCTAACAAATAACATACCACTTCATTCATTTGACAAATGTACCAAATATGCACTACCTTATCATATCTTCTCTGTACAAAGCCAGCTGACAAATATGTAGACAAAAACTACAATATTTGGAGGAATGAAGTAATTATTAAATAGAAATAGAAGACATATACAGCGCAAAAGCAAAGAAAGTGTAACCAATCACTGACTTTATCTGGGAAACTTAGGAAAAGAAGAGTTGACATTTCAGGCAAGCCTTGAAGCTCTAAATATGAACCCTTGGTTCTCAAAGCTCACCAAATGGATGGGGTAGAACCCTGGCACACAACCTTTTTATTTGAAATATCCATATTTTGCCCATTTACCAATATAATACAGAGATACAATGCAGAAATACGCATTTAAAAACTGAGAGTCCTGCATAAAAATTATATTACTCCAGACATAATTAGTATTTGGATTTAGATTCCTCCAACTCTTCTTTCTACTCAAATACTAAAATAAATTATTATTCATGTTATGTTGTATGGGCTTCCTAAGATAAGCAGAGATTAATAAACTCCTTGTCTATCTCAGAGCAGAATCTAAAATCAAGTAACCTAATCTGAATCATACCAGATATAGCCACATTCTCCTAACCTTAGGCTTCTTCCTAGTCATTTCCCAGCTTTAACCAGGTGACCATGGAGTTCCCTCTTAGGATTCCACAATAGCTGCCCAGGTACTTTGTTAAATAGTCTGAAATGTACTACCTTTGCTTCCATTCTTAGGGATAACAACAACAACAAACATACAACTTAACAATAAGTGCCATGTGAAATACATGACTTAGGGCTCTCAATCCTCCCTTCGAGTTACAAATTCTTTTAACAAAATAAATGTTCATTGTACAACTATATGTCAGTTCTTCAACTACAATCAGTTCTCTAGAATGGAAATGAGAGCTTCATTATGAACATTCTACACATTCATTGCCATTTCATGAAATGTTTACTGGGACAGGTTGCCGACAGCAGAGATTTTGCCCCTTTAATACAAACCTATTGTGATTAACAAATTTGGCCTCTTTGCTCTTCACAGATCCTGAGGTACATCCAACTCTACCCAACCATCCTACTCCTGTCCCCACCATAGCATCCAACATCACTGTCAAATACACCATCAATAACCAGCTAAGGGGAGTGGAGCTGTTCTTCAATTTCACCATAGATGTTAGCGTGAAAAGTGGGTCTGTGCTACTTGTGGTCCTAGAAGAAGCACAACGCAAAAATTCCACATTCAAGTGAGCACTACAAGTGGCATTTGCCATTCTCCCTGAGCCTAACCTGAATTACCATTCTTGCTCTCTCACTCCTTCATATACTTACTTTTTTTTCCTTCTCATAATGTAACAGATTTTTATTTAAATAGCCCCTTGAGAGCCTACAATCTCTTGTGAAACATTAAATCATACAAAACAATATATGATAGAATTTTTTTAAAAGGAATTCAAAGGAAAGAGAGTCCATTGTGGATTAGAACAGTCAAGAAGCTCTTGGCTTTGGACCACATTCAAAGAATAGGTACCATCCATGAAAATATGAGAGTTGCATTTAGAGAGAGGAATGGTTAGAACAAAGAATTCAAGATTGGAATGGGAAAGGAATTCAAGGTCAATGAGTAAGCCAGCTTGATGAGAGCAGAGAATTTGAGATTTAATTGAATCTGGAAGGATAGATTGGGTGGTTTTGTAAAAAGCTTGAAACACCACGATAAGGAGGTTGGACTTCATATTGCAGAGAAGTACTGCAAGATTTTGAATATGAAAAGCCATGTTGTAAAATGTTAAATGCTGGGGCATGAGAGACTACAGTAATGAAGCTGTAAAGTGATGAAGACTGCCTCTAAAATAAATGGACTCATAGCAAGGAAAAGTCACAGGGCTCTGAGTACAGGATGTGGAGGTCAAGAGAAAGATGCTTCAGCACTATTGACAGGAGTATCAGGAGTGAGAGACACATAATTCCTCTAGATATTTTTAACTGTGGGTGTTTGAAAGAGAAACATCAGGAAGCTTTTGGAGATATAAAGGAAGTTCTAGAAAAAGAGGTCAGTACAGGCAAAAGAGATTGGGTAGAGGTGATGATCTAAGTTAAAAAACTGCACAGTCCTAGCCAGTTTGGTTCAATGGATGGAGCATAGGCCTGTGGACCACTGATTTTTCTTTTGCTGACTATGAATGTGATAAAAATTCACAGAGTAGAAATTTTGAGGAAGAAAAAGCATAAAAAAAAACAACCCTCTATATTACAAAGGGTCTCGGATTTGATTCTGGTCAAGGGCATGTGCCTCCCCAGCCCAGGCCCTGGTCAGGGCTCTTGCAAGAGGCAACCAATCGATGTGTCTCTCTCACATTGATGTTTCTGTCTTTCCCTCTCTCTCCCATTCTCCCTACAAATCAATGGAAAAATATCCTTGGGTGAGGATTAACAAAACAAAAAAAAAGAACTGCACAGATACAATGCTCTCAACAAAACCAAGAGACGTATCTAATTAATCCCATTTTATAGACAGAACCATTTAGGCCCAAAGAGTTTAAGCAATATTTCTGAAGTCATATAACATGTAATTAATAGAGTTGAGATCTGAACCCTTAAACTTCCCTATCTTCTATAGACAAGTCAGGATAAAAAAACACACCTCAAAAATATTTAATTTTTAAACAACCCTCTGAATATACTTTACTTCTCTGAGCTTACCTTTAATTTTGCCTGATTTTTTCTTTTTCTGACTATGAATGTAATAAAAATACACATAGTAAAAATTTTGAGGAAGAAAAAGCATAAAGGAAACAAAACCTCTATAGTCCATCCACAGTATAATCACTGTTGCTGTTTTTTTAATTTTGTAGGTGTTTTATCTATGCATCTTACAAATAGTTGTGATCCACTATATATGTGGGATGGATGGGTATTTTATATAAAATTTTTATCCCACATTTTCACTTAGCATTATTACATAAGCTTTTTCCCATGTCACTGGAAATTGTTGAAAAATACAGTTTACATAACTGCAAATTACATAATGTTGGATATTCATTCCATCACTTACCTAATTACTAGTATTTGCCCATTGTTGCACATTTACATATTTCATTTGCTTACCAGTGGTTATCTTTTAAATCCTTTCATTCAATTCCAAGTGATTTCATATTTATTAGTCATTTACATTTTCTCTTTTAATTTTATCTGATCTCTAAAGCACTTAAATGCCTCTGTCCCTTCATCTTACCCCCTAACTGTCTGACCTAAAGTAAAGTGTTAATCATATATATGATTTTATTCTTATAGATTTGAAACCACAATGACATCCTGGGGCCCTGTTGTTTCTTCTATCAACAATATCGCTGAAAATGTGAATCATAAGACGTATTGGCAGTTCCTCAGTGGCAAGACACCTTTGAATGAAGGTTAGAGAATAAAAGAAATGGGGGCATTTCCTCCATAGTTCGAAGGCTACATTCTTTAATTTCCTTATTTAATTAGTTCATTCATTTGATCAGTAAATACTAAATGATAGCTAGATGATAGATGATTGGTAAGTGATAGACAGATGATGGATAGAAAAAGAAATATAGACATATGTTAGCTGGTTGATAAATGATAGACAGATGATAGAATGATGATAAATGATAGATAGATAGATAGATAGATAGATAGATAGATAGATAAGATGAGTGGCTATTTTAAAAGGCTTTTTACAAAATCAAGAATTCTGTCTCCACTCT